TGAATCTCGGAGTGAGTTTAAGTGAGTCTCAGAATGAGTCTCAGAGTGAGTCTCAGAGTGAGTCTCAGAGTGAGTCTCAGAGTGAGTCTCAGTGAGTCTAAATGAGTCTCGGAGTGAGTCTCGGAGTGAGTCTCAGTGAGTCTAAATGAGTCTCGGAGTGAGTCTAAGTGAGTCTAAGTGAGCCTCGGAGTGAGTCTAAGTGAGTCTGAGTGAGTCTCGGAGTGAGTTTAAGTGAGTCTCGGAGTGAGTCTAATTGAGTCTCAGAGTGAGTCTAAGTGAGTCTAAGTGAGTCTAATTGAGTTTCGGAGTGAGTCTCAGTGAGTCTAAGTGAGTCTCGGAGTGAGTCTCGGAGTGAGACTCGGAGTGAGTCTAAGTGAGTCTAAGTGAGCCTCGGAGTGAGTCTCAGAGTGAGTCTCAGAGTGAGTCTCAGAGTGAGTCTCAGAGTGAGTCTCAGAGTGAGTCTCAGAGTGAGTCTCAGTGAGTCTAAATGAGTCTCGGAGTGAGTCTCGGAGTGAGTCTCAGTGAGTCTAAATGAGTCTCGGAGTGAGTCTCGGAGTGAGTCTAAGTGAGTCTAAGTGAGCCTCGGAGTGAGTCTAAGTGAGTCTGAGTGAGTCTCGGAGTGAGTTTAAGTGAGTCTCGGAGTGAGTCTAATTGAGTCTCAGAGTGAGTCTAAGTGAGTCTAAGTGAGTCTAATTGAGTTTCGGAGTGAGTCTCAGTGAGTCTAAGTGAGTCTCGGAGTGAGTCTCGGAGTGAGACTCGGAGTGAGTCTAAGTGAGTCTAAGTGAGCCTCGGAGTGAGTCTCGGAGTGAGTCTCGGAGTGAGTCTAAGTGAGCCTCGGAGTGAGTCTCGGAGTGAGTCTAAGTGAGTCTAAGTGAGTCTAAGTGAGTCTAAGTGAGTCTCGGCGTGAGTCTCGGCGTGAGTCTCTGAGTGAGTCTAAGTGAGTCTTGGAGTGAGTCTTGTAGTGAGTTTAAGTGAGTCTCGGAGTGAGTCTAAGTGAGTCTCGGAGTGAGTCTAAGTGAGTCTAAGTGAGTCTAAGTGAGTCTAAGTGAGTCTAAGTGAGTCTCGGAGTGAGTCTCTGAGTGAGTGTCTGAGTGAGTCTAAGTGAGTCTCGGAGTGAGTCTCAGAGTGAGTTTAAGTGAGTCTAAGTGAGTCTCGGAGTGAGTCTAAGTGAGTCTAAGTGAGTCTAAGTGAGTCTCCGAGTGAGTCTCGGAGTGAGTCTCGGAGTGAGTCTAAGTGAGTCTAAGTGAGTCTCGGAGTGAGTCTCGGAGTGAGTCTAAGTGAGTCTCGGAGTGAGTCTAAGTGAGTCTAAGTGAGTCTAAGTGAGTCTTGGAGTGAGTCTCGGAGTGAGTCTTAGTGAGTCTTGGAGTGAGTCTAAGTGACTCTAAGTGAGTCTAAGTGAGTCTAAGTGAGTCTAGGAGTGAGGCTCGCAGTGAGCCTCGCAGTGAGCCTCGCAGTGAGCCTCGCAGTGAGTCTCAGAGTGAGTCTCAGAGTGAGTGTTGGAGTGAGTCTCAGAGTGAGTCGTGGAGTGAGTCTCGGAGTGAGTCGGAGTCCAAGCAGGAGAAGTGACAAAATAAAACGGCGAAACGGGGCAACTTCCGTGGTGGGAAACCCGGCACACACACGAGGAATCGGTGCCCCTGTCCCGTATAAGAAATGGCCCTGCACGGCCAGGGGTGCCAATTCCACATCCCCGTGGCGAGGGAGTGTCGACCCAAGGGGAGGCCCACGACCGGTTCAGATCATTCATCGTCACCGTTGTTGGTGGCCGTGAGCGGGGAAACAAACTCTTCGTAGCCGCAGCATAGCGCTGACCGCTACACTGCCACTCCCCCACCCCCTGCGCACACAGTGGTACACATTTTATCGACCCGCGGAGGCAGGGATGATGGTGATTTGCTTCGTCAATCCCGACCCCCGCTCAGCAGGATTTTGCGAGCTGTCATGGTAACGGATCGCGAGGCTGCCATGGTAACGGGTATTGAGGCTGCCATGGTAACGGGTAGTGAGGCTGCCATGGTAACGGGTAGTGAGGCTGCCATGGTAACGGTAGTGCGGCTGCCATGGTAACTGTAGTGAGGCTGCCATGGTAACGGGTAGTGAGGCTGGCATGGTAACGGGTAGTGAGGCTGCCATGGTAACGGTAGTGAGGCTGCCATGGTAACGGGTAGTGAGGCTGGCATGGTAACGGGTAGTGAGTCTGCCATGGTAACGGGTAGTGAGGCTGCCATGGTAACGGGTAGTGAGGCTGCCATGGTAACGGTAGTGAGGCTGCCATGGTAACGGGTAGTGAGGCTGGCATGGTAACGGGTAGTGAGGCTGCCATGGTAATGGGTAGTGAGGCTGCCATGGTAATGGGTAGTGAAGCTGCCATGGTAACGGTAGTGAGGCTGCCATGGTAATGGTAGTGAGGCTGCCATGGTAACGGTAGTCATAATGCCATGGTAACGGTGGTGAGGCTGCCATGGTAACGGTAGTGAGGCTGCCATGGTAACGGTAGTGAGGCTGCCATGGTAACGGTAGTGAGGCTGGCGCTGTAACAAGTGGTGAAGCTGGCGCTGGCACGAGTAGGCGACACAAAGGTGATGCATCCACGACACTACCACTGTGTGCAGTGCGTGTGTGTCCGTTTGTGTGTGTGTGTGTGTGTGCGCGCGTGTGTGTGTGCGTGCGTGTGTGTGTGCGTGTGTGTGTGTGCGCGCGTGTGTGTGTGTGTGCGCGCGTGTGTGTGTGTGCGCGCGTGTGTGTGTGTGCGCGTGCATGCGTGTGTGTGTGCGCACGTGTGTGTGTGTGCGTGTACGTGTTTGCGCGTGTGTGTGTGCGCGTGCGTGTGTGTTTGCGCGTGTGTGCGTGTGTGTGTTTGCGCGTGTGTGTGTGCGCGTGCGTGTGTGTTTGCGCGTGTGTGTGTGTTTGCGCGTGTGTGCGTGTGTGTGTGCGCGTGTGTGTGCGCGTGCGTGTGTGCGTTGCGTGTGTGTGTGTGTGTGCGTGTGTGCGTGCGTGTGTGCGTGCGTGCGTGTGTGCGCGCGTGCGTGTGTGTGCGTGTGCGTGTGCGCGCGTGTGCGTGTGTGTGCGCGTGTGCGTGTGTTTGCGCGTGTGTGCGCGTGTGTGTGCGCGTGTGTACGCGTGTGTGTGTGTGTGTGTGCGCGTGCGTGTGTGTGTGTGCCTGGGTATTTTTTTAAGTCGTGATTTCGTAGCCTGGCACAAGCGTCGTGGTGACGTCACCGCCACTTAGTGGCGAATAGCGGTTGCTGTTGTTGCCTGGGTATTTTGTACCATCGGACACTCCACCCCCACAACTCCCAATCGGTGATGGGGCAGTTGTGGAGAGAGTGGAGAGTTTCCCATACCTGGGCAGTGTGCTCATGTCCAGCTCCGGTTTAACAGCAGAGGTCTCACTCCGAATCAGTCGAGCGGCAATATCTTTTCATCGGTTGCGTAACGCTGTGTGGAAGCTACCTGGTCTGTCGCGCCGCACTAAGCTTCAGGTCTTCTCGGCCACGGTCATTCCCTCCCTTCTCTACGCTTGCGAAACGTGGACCCCCCTAATGGAACATCTTCGCCGTTTGGAAACATTTAGGCTGGCCTACTTACGATCCATCCTGGGTTTAACCAGGCTGGATTGTGTGAGGAGCTCACAAACCCTCGAAAGATCTGGGCAAGGTCCCATCGGTGAGCTCCTCCGGCAGGCAAGGCTGCGTTGGCTGGGACATGTAGCCCGCATGCCCAGCCACCGCATGCCGTAACAGTTTTTGTTCGTACGCTTCAGTAATTTTGCTGGAGCAGTCAACATCCGATGATGGTTGCTTGTCTTCTTTGGTTCTTTCGGTAAAGTCACGTAGAATGAGAATAAAATAATAAATTGATAAAATAAAATAACACAATAATATTCTCACGACGTTTCGGCCACAACACAAGCGGCCTTCATCAGGTGAAGGGACGAGACTGTCTGGTAGGACAGCGCTGGAGTCCTACCAGACAGTCTCGTCCCTTCACCTGATGAAGGCCGCTTGTGTTGTGGCCGAAACGTCGTGAGAATATTATTGTGTTATTTTATTTTATCAATTTATTATTTTATTCTCATTCTACGTGACTTTACCGAAAGAACCAAAGAAGATGAATCATTGCAGTCACAAAAGCTTTGAATCGAAAAATGGTTGCTTGTGTTGCTTCCGAAACGTAATTTATTTTATTTCATTTTTCACCTAAGTGACTTTACCGAAAAATCAAAGAGTGTGGATCCTTGCAGTCACGAAAAATTCAAATCTAGAAGCTTTTGTTCGGCCGGATCGAGGGGGATAAACGGGCACGGCATGGGCTAGAGAAGAGATGGAGTGATGTGGTACAGGAGGACGTGGAGCTGAGTGGACTTGCCGGTGACTGGTACCAGCGGTGTCGGCTTCTGTGGAGGAGGCTCGTGAAGGACGCTACTGGGCAGTTGGAGGCAGTCGCCCTCCAACAACAACGGAGGGCGGAGGAGCGACGCTCACAACGAGCGGAGCGCCGGGTGGCTAAAGCACAGCAGGCTGGCACAGTAGGGGACACAGGTGGTGCATCAGCCAGTCATCTCAGTCAGTCGACCCGTGGCACCTGGGTCTGCCCCGTGACCTGCCAGCGGGCGTTTGGCACTTCACTTGGCCTCAAGGTGCACATGTCCTGGCACAAGCGTCGTGGTGACGTCACTGCCACTTAGTGGCGAATGGCGGTTGTTGTTGGTGTGTGCGTGTGTGTGCGTGTGTTTATCTGTGTGTGTGTGCGTGTGTGTGCGTGTGTGTGTGTGTGCGCGTGCGACTCGGCCTCAAATGAGTACCTGGTGCGGTGTTTAAACATCGCCTCTGGGGGAGACAAAGGCGGCCGGGCGTGGTGTCGGCCACCCCCCTCCCCCGGTGCGCTGTGCCGGCCTTCATAGGCGCTCGGCTGACAGCACTTGCCCCAGCGGTCTGTTACAGGCCACAACGGGGGAACCTTTGGCTTTGTGTTATCTGTGCGTGCGTGCGAGCGAGCAGGGGAGAGTCTTCGTGCCGAGCAAACCCAACAAGCCCAAGGCGCACCGCCGTAGGCCCAAGTGGACGCCGCGCAAGATCCTCACCGTGGTGGCGGTGGTCTCCCTCATCCTGCTGGTGGTGACTGGCATCATCGCGGCCATCTGGTACTTCGGCTGTGAGTCGTCACCACCGCCCCCTCCCCCCACCGGCGTGTGTGCATCTCCCGCCCGATGATTCCCCCCTTGCCCCGTGTCGCTGTGCGGGTCTGTGTCTGTCTCCGTGTCCATGTGGTTCTATGCGTGTCCCCTCCCTCACCTCCCCTACCCCCTCTCCCTCCCCTCCTCTCCCCTACCCCCTCTCCCTCCCCTCCCCTGCCCTCCCTCCCCATCGGCTTCTCACCAAGATCCACTCAGACTCAAGTTAGTGAGTGCCGGGGTGGTGAGACGTTAGCTACCTGGCCCTGGTGTGCAGGAGGTCGTGGGTTGAATCCCAACCCCTCTGACACCTGCTCGATATTTGGAGTTTTCGTGCGTGTCTCGCTCTCTCTCTCCCCCTCTCTCCCGCTCTCTTTTTATCGCGATCAGAGGAAACAAGAAGATGCTCTGTGTAGTCGGCACTATGCTCCGTTCATCATTTCGTTTTTGTTATGCTTTGCTTTATGTAAACCCCCTCCCCCCTTTTAAATGAAAGACCCAACAAAATATTTTTTTCTTTTTTTTTTCTGCTCTCCTTACCCCCTTCCCTCTCTCTCTACCCCCCTCTCTGCCTCTCCTCTCTCTCTACCCCCCTCTCTGCCCCCCCCCCCCCTCTCTCTGCCCCCTCTCTTCCTACTCCATTTCACTCTCGCTCACTCTCTCGCTCTCTCTCTCTTTATATATAACTACGACAAGTGCTGCACCTGCACGCAGCCCTTCCCACAGTCAAACGGCCTCCGACGGGTAGCTTATCCCTCTCTCTCTCTCCCCCTCCTTCTCTCCCTCCCTCTCTCCCTCTCTCCCTCTCTCTCTCTCCCTCCCCGTGGACTTTTCTCTGGGCCCTCCGGTATTTTCCCCTCCTCAGTTAGAATCGACATCAGCAGCGCGTTGAGAGTTATTTGGCCGCTGCTGTGAATTTGCACGCGGCGGCGGCGACGACGACGACGAAGCCCACTTGGCGTTGAGCTATCATTCAGCTTGGCCAGGGTCGCTACGTAGGGGCGGGCTTGGGGGTCTGGGGGGGGGGGGTAGTGGTGGTGGGCCTTACCCGGTAGTGGCAAAAAATAGTTGAGTCGTTAAGACTCAACTAAGGCTGGGGTGGGGGCCCATGGGGGGGTGGGGGGCCCATGGCACTCTCCTCCAAGCTCGCACGCTCGCTCGCTTCGTTCTTATGTCCGTGGGTCTCTATGTGAGTCTATGGGTCTCTATGTGAGTCTATGGGTCTCTATGTGAGTCTATCTGTGGGTCTCTATGTGAGTCTATCTGTGGGTCTCTATGCGAGTCTATGGGTCTCTATGTGAGTCTATGGGTCTCTATGTGAGTCTATCTGTGGGTCTCTATGTGAGTCTATCTGTGGGTCTCTATGTGAGTCTATCTGTGGGTCTCTATGTGAGTCTATCAATGGGTCTCTATGCGAGTCTATCTGTGGGTCCCTATGTGAGTCTATCTGTGGGTCTCTATGTGAGTCTATCTATGGGTCTCTATGTGAGTCTATCTGTGGGTCCCTATGTGAGTCTATCTGTGGGTCTCTATGTGAGTCTCTCTGTGGGTCTCTATGTGAGTCTCTCTGTGGGTCTCTATGTGAGTCTATCTGTGGGTCTCTATGTGAGTCTATCTGTGGGTCTCTATGTGAGTCTATCTGTGGGTCTCTAAGTCTATCTGTGGGTCTCTTTGTGAGTCTATCTGTGGGTCTCTATATGAGTCTACCTGTGGATCTCTATGTGAGTCTATCTGTGTGTCTCTATGCGAGTCTATCTGTGGGTTTCTATGTGAGTCTATCTATGGGTCTCTATGTGAGTCTATCTATGGGTCTCTATGTGAGTCTATCTGTGGGTCTCTTTGTGAGTCTCCAGTGAGGGAAAAAAAGTATTTGATCCCCTGCTGATTTTGTACGTTTGCCCACTGACAAAGAAATGATCAGTCTATAATTTTAATGGTGGGTTTATTTGAACAGTGAGAGATAGAATAACAACAACAAAATCCAGAAAAACGCATGTCAAAATCTAATAAATTGATTTGCATTTTAACGAGGGAAATACGTATCTGACCCCTCTGCAAAACATGACTTAATACTTGGTGGCAAAACCTTTGTTGGCAATCACAGAGATCAGACGTTTCTTGTAGTTGGCCACCAGGTTTGCACACATTTCAGGAGGGATTTTGTCCTACTCCTCTTTGCAGATCTTCTCCAAGTCAATAAGGTTTCGAGACTGACGTTTGGCAACTCGAACCTTCAGCTCCCTCTACAGATTTTCTATGGGATTAAGGTCTGGAGACTGGCTAGGCCACTCCAGGACCTTAATGTGCTTCTTCTTGAGCCACTCCTTTGTTGCCTTGGCCGTGTGTTTTGGGTCATTGTCATGGTGGAATACCCATCCACGACTCATTTTCAATGCCCTGGCTGAGGGAAGGAGGTTCTCACCCAAGATTTGACGGTACATGGCCCCGTCCATCGTCCATTTGATGCGGTGAAGTTGTCCTGTCCCCTTAGCAGAAAAACACCCCCAAAGAATAATGTTTCCACCTCCATGTTTGACGGTGGGGATGGTGTTCTTGGGGTCATAGGCAGCATTCCTCCTCCTCCAAACACGGCGAGTTGAGTTGATGCCAAAGAGCTCCATTTTGGTCTCATCTGACCACAACACTTTCACCCAGTTGTCCTCTGAATCATTCAGATGTTAATTGGCAAACTTCAGACGGACATGTATATGTGCTTTCTTGAGCAGGGGGACCTTGCGGGCACTGCAGAATTTCAGTCCCTCATGGCGTAGTGTGTTTCCAATTGTTTTCTTGGTGACTATGGTCCCAGCTGCCTTGAGATCATTGACAAGATCCTCCCGTGTAGCTCTGGGCTGATTCCTCACCGTTCTCATGATCATTGCATCTCCACGAGGTGAGATCTTGCATGGAGCCCCAGGCTGAGGGAGATTGACAGTTTTTTTGTGTTTCTTCCATTTGCGAATAATCGCACCAACTGTTGTCACCTTCTCACCAAGCTGCTTGGCAATGGTCTTGTAGCCCATTCCAGCCTTGTGTAGGTCTACAATCTTGTCCCTGACATCCTTGGAGAGCTCTTTGGTCTTGGCCATGGTGGAGAGTTTGGAATCTGATTGATTGCTTCTGTGGACAGGTGTCTTTTATACAGGTAACAAGCTGAGATTAGGAGCACTCCCTTTAAGAGTGTGCTCCTAATCTCAGCTCATTACCTGTATAAAAGACACCTGGGAGCCAGAAATCTTTCTGATTGAGAGGGGGTCAAATACTTATTTCCACTCATTAAAATGCAAATCAATTTATAACATTTTTGACATACGTTTTTCTGGATTTTTTTGTTGTAATTCTGTCTCTCACTGTTCAAATAAAGCTACCATTAAAATTATAGACTGATCATTTCTTTGTCAGTGGGCAAACATACAAATCAGCAGGGGATCAAATACTTTTTTCCCTCACTTTACGTGAGTATGGGTCTCTACGTGAGTATGGGTCTCTTCGTGAACGAGTTTATGTGGTGCTCTGTGAATCTAGCTGTGGGTCTCTACGTGAGTGTGGGTCTCTACGTGAGTGTGGGTCTCTGTGAAGCTCGCTATCGGTCTCTACGTGAGTGTGGGTCTCTACGTGAGTGTGGGTCTCTACGTGAGTGTGGGTCTCTACGTGAGTATTGGTCTCTACGTGAGTGTGGGTCTCTACGTGAGTATGGGTCTCTGTGAAGCTAGCTATGGGTCTCTACGTGAGTGTGGGTCTCTACGTGAGTGTGGGTCTCTACGTGAGTGTGGGTCTCTACGTGAGTGTGGGTCTCTACGTGAGTATGGGTCTCTGTGAAGCTAGCTATGGGTCTCTACGTGAGTGTGGGTCTCTACGTGAGTATGGGTCTCTGTGAAGCTAGCTATGGGTCTCTACGTGAGTCTGGGTCCCTACGTGAGTATGGGTCTCTGTGAAGCTAGCAATGGGTCTCTACGTGAGTGTGGGTCTCTACATGAGTGGGTCTCTACGTGAGTATGGGTCTCTGTGAAGCTAGCTTTGGGTCTCTACGTGAGTGTGAGTCTCTACGTGAGTATGGGTCTCTGTGAAGCTAGCTATGGGTCTCTACGTGAGTGTGGGTCTCTACGTGAGTGTGGGTCTCTGTGAAGCTAGCTATGGGTCTCTACGTGAGTGTGGGTCTCTACGTGAGTATGGGTCTCTGTGAAGCTAGCTATGGGTCTCTACGTGAGTGTGGGTCTCTACGTAAGTGTGGGTCTCTACGTGAGTGTGGGTCTCTACGTGAGTGTGGGTCTTTACATGAGTGTGGGTCTCTATGTGAATATGGGTCTGTGTGAAGCTAGCTATGGGTCTCTACGTGAGTATGGGTCTCTACGTGAGTGTGGGTCTCTACGTGAGTGTGGGTCTCTACGTGAGTGTGGGTCTCTACGTGAGTATGGGTCTCTACGTGAGCGAGTCTACACAGGTCTCGGTGTCTCTCTCTCTGCGCACGTGTGCAGTCTATGTGCAGGAGGTGCAGGATAAGGCGACCACGGATTACCGTGGCTCGCTTGATGAGAAGGTTGCCCGCGTCTACACGGGCTCCGTGCACGTCAAGGACATGGAATTTTCGTCCGACCTGGAGGACATGAACTCTCCCGCAGCGCAGAGACTGGCTGCCACGGTCAGCGATGAGGTGAGGAAAGGAGGGTGGGGGCGGCAGGGGTTTGGGTGACGAGGTGAGGGAAGGAGGGTGGGGGCGGCAGGGGTTTGGGTGATGAGGTGAGGGAGGGGGTGAGTGAGGGTTGGGGTGACGAGGTGAGGGAGGGGGGGGTGAGAGAGGGTTGGGGTGACGAGGTGAGGGAGGGGGGGTGAGTGAGGGTTGGGGTGAAGAGGTGAGGGAGGGGGGGTGAGAGAGGGTTGGGGTGACGAGGTGAGGGAGGCAGGGGGTGAGTGAGGGTTGGGGTGACGACGTGAAGGAGGGGGTGGTGAGAGTGAGGGTTTGGGTGACGAGGTGAGGGAGGGGGCGGGTGAGAGAGGGTTTGGGGCGACGAGGTGAGGGAGGGGGTGAGTGAGGGTTGGGGTGACGAGGTGAGGGAGGGAGGGGGTGAGAGAGGGTTGGGGTGACGAGGTGAAGGAGGGGAGGGGGTGAGTGAGTGTTGGGGTGACGAGGTGAGGGAGGGGGGGTGAGAGAGGGTTGGGGTGACGAGGTGAGGGAGGGGGGTGGTGAGAGAGGGTTGGGGTGACGAGGTGAAGGAGGGGAGGGGGTGAGTGAGGGTTGGGGTGACGAGGTGAGGGAGGGAGGGGGTGAGTGAGGGTTGGGGTGACGAGGTGAGGGAGGGGAGGGGCTGAGAGAGGGTTGGGGTGACGAGGTGAGGGAGGGGAGGGGCTGAGAGAGGGTTGGGGTGACGAGGTGAGTTGTTGGTGTGGTGAAGCCCCCGTGAGAGTGGGGGAGGGGTTGAGGTGGGCGAGGGTTGAGGTGGGATGTTGAGTGTGGGTGATGAGGTGAGTTGATGAGGTGAGGCCAGTGAGGGGGTGGGGCAGAGGGGCTGAGATGAGAGCGATGAGGTGAGACTTGTGAGGTGATGAGGTGAGGTGATGAGGTGAGTAGGTGAGTTGAAACATGATGGCGATGAGGTGAGGCATTGAGAGGGGGCGAGAGAGGTGAGGTGAGACTCGGGTGGGTGAGGTGACGAGGTGAGTTGTGGTGAGGTTTGTGATGAGCGGTGAGGGGTGAAGAGGGGAGAAGTGATGGTGAGGTGATTAGGTGAGTTAAGGGGGTGAGGAGTGTGGGTGAGAGGTGAGGGGTGTGTGGTGAGGGGTGTGTGGTGAGGGGTGTGGGTGAGGGGTGTGTGGTGTGGGTGAGGGGTGTGTGGTGAGGGGTGTGTGGTGTGGGTGAGGGGTGTGTGGTGTGGGTGAGGGGTGTGTGGTGAGGGGTGTGTGGTGAGGGGGGGGGGGGGGTGTGGGGAGCGATAGTGTAGCGGTTAGCGCGCTGCGCTATGAACCTGGCGACCCGGGTTCGATTCCCGCTCACGGCCAACACCAGTGACGATTATCTGAACCGGTCCCGGGCCTCCCCTAGGTCGACTCAGCCTCAAATGAGTACCTGGTGCGGTGTGTAAACATTGCCACTAGGGAGACAAAGGCGGTCGGGCGTGGTGCTGGCCACCCACCCCCTCGTGTACCGTTCCGGCCTTCATAGGTGCTCGCTAACAGCACTTGCCCCTACAGTCTGTTAAGGCTATATGGGGGATCTTTGTCTTTATCTTTGTGGTGAGGGGTGTGTGGTGAGGGGTGTGTGGTGAGGGGTGTGTGGTGAGGGGTGAGGGGTGTGGTTGAGAGGTGAGGGGTGAGGGGTGAGGGGTGTGGGTGAGGGGTGTGGGTGAGGGGTGTGGGTGAGGGGTGTGGGGTGAGGGGTGTGTGGTGAGAGGTGTGGGGTGAGGGGTGAGGGGTGAGGGGTGTGGGGTGAGGGGTGAGGGGTGAGAGGTGAGGGGTGTGGGGTGAGGGGTGGGGGGTGTGGTTGAGGCTCATTTGGGGAGATTTAAGGAACTCACCCCCCCCCCCCATCCTGTCAACCGGTGACGTTACGTGGACGTTGCGTGGACGTTGTGTGGTGACGTGTGGACGTTGAGTGGACGTTGTGTGGACGTTACGTGGGCGTGGCGTGGACGTTGCGTGGACGTTGCGTGGACGTTGCGTGGACGTTGTGTGAACGTTGCGTGGACGTTGCGTGGACGTTGTGTGGTGACGTGTGGGCGTAGCGTGGACGTTGTGTGGACGTTACGTGGGCGTAGCGTGGACGTTGCGTGGACGTTGCGTGGACGTTGTGTGGAAGCGCCTTCCGTCAGTCGACCTTGTGGTGGCGTGCGTAGGTCAAGGAGGCGTTCACCAAGTCAACCGTCCTCGCCTCCTACTACAACACATCCCAGGTCGTGGGCTTCAGGTAACATCACTCCACTCCCTCCCTCCCTCCCTCCACTCCCTCCACTCCCTCCACTCCCTCCCCTCCCCTCCCTCCACTCCCTCCACTCCCTCCCTCCCTCCCTCCACTCCCCTCCCTCCCTCCCTCCACTCCCCTCCCTCCCTCCACTCCCCTCCCTCCCTCCACTCCCCTCCCTCCCTCCACTCCCTCCACTCCCTCCACTCCCTCCACTCCCTCCACTCCACTCCCTCCACTCCCCTCCACTCCCTCCACTCCCCTCCACTCCCTCCACTCCCTCCCCTCCCCTCCCTCCACTCCCTCCACTCCCTCCCTCCACTCCCCTCCCTCCACTCCCTCCACTCCCTCCCTCCACTCCCTCCCCTCCCTCCACTCCCTCCCCTCCCTCCCTCCACTCCCCTCCCTCCACTCCCCTCCCTCCACTCCCCTCCCTCCACTCCCCTCCCTCCACTCCCTCCACTCCCTCCACTCCCTCACTCCTTCCACTCCCCTCCCTCCCTCCACTCCCCTCCCTCCACTCCCTCCCTCCACTCCCTCTATTCCCTCCACTCCCCTCCCTCCCTCCACTCCCTCCACTCCCTCCACTCCCTCCACTCCCTCCACTCCCTGCCTCCACTCCATCCCCTCCCTCCACTTCCTCACTCCTTCCACTCCCTCCACTCCCTCCCCTCCACTCCCTCCCTCCACTCCCTCCCTCCCTCCCCTCCCTCCACTCCCTCCCCTCCACTCCCTCCCTCCACTCCTTCCACTCCCTCCACTCCCTCCCCTCCACTCCCTCCACTCCCTCCCATCCACTCCCTCCACTCCCTCCACTCCCTCCACTCCCTCCACTCCGTCCACTCCCTCCACTCCGTCCACTCCCTCCACTCCCTCCCTTCCCTCCACTCCCTCCCCTCCCTCCACTCCCTCCACTCCCTCCACTCCCTCCCTCCACTCCCCTCCCTCCACTCCATCCCTCCACTCCCTCCACTCCCTCCACTCCCTCCACTCCCCTCCCTCCCTCCACTCCCTCCACTCCCTCCACTCCCTCCACTCCCTGCCTCCCTGGGTGAGCTCCCCTCACCCAGCGTTCATATCCCACAGTGACCCTCACAGACAGCCGTAGACTCCCACAGAGACATGTAGACTCACACAGAGACCCGTAGACTCCCACAGAGACCCGTAGACTCACACAGAGACCCGTAGACTCACACAGAGACCCGTAGACTCACACAGAGACCCGTAGACTCACACAGAGACCCGTAAACTCCCACAGAGACCCGTAGACTCACACAGAGACCCGTAGACCCACACAGAGACCCGTAGACTCGCGTAGAGATGCTCACACAGAGACCCGTAGCCTCACACAGAGACCCGTAGACTCCCACAGAGACCCGTAGACTCCCACAGAGACCTGTAGACTCCCACAGAGACCCGTAGACCCACACAGAGACCCGTAGACTCCCACAGAGACCCGTAGACTCACACAGAGACCCGTAGACTCGCACAGAGACCCGTAGACTCACACAGAGACCCGTAGACTCGCGTAGAGATGCTCACACAGAGACCCGTAGACTCACACACAGACCCGTAGACTCCCACAGAGACCCGTAGACTCCCACAGAGACCCGTAGACCCACACAGAGACCTGTAGACTCACACAGAGACCTGTAAACTCCCACAGAGACCCATAGCCTCACACAGAGACCCGTAGACTCCCACAGAGACCCGTAGACTCGCGTAGAGATGCTCACACAGAGACCCGTAGCCTTACACAGAGACCCGTAGACTCCCACAGAGACCCTTAGACTCACACAGAGACCTTTGTGTTTGTCTGCAGCGAGGGCAGCGTCAAGGCCTACTACCTCATCCGCTTCACCATCCCGGAGAAGGAGGAGGCGGTGCTGAGCTCCGTGGTGTCGGAGGAGGTGGTGAAGGGGGTGCTGAGGCAGCGGCTCGGCTTGTCACGCATGCAGCCCGGGCAGGGGCAGATCGACGTCGCCTCGCTCACCGTCTTCCGTAGGTCGCGGTCACGGCCGTGGTCGTGGTGACGGTGACGGTGACTCACCCCCCCATCCTGGTGACGGTGACGGTCTTGGTGACGGTGACAGTGAGGGTCTTGGTGACAGTGACGGTCTCGGTGAGGATCTCGGTGAGGGTCTCGGTGAGGGTCTCGGTGAGGGTCACGGTGACAGTGAGGGTCTTCTGTGAGGGTCATGGTGACGGTCTTGGTGACGGTGACGGTGAGGGTCTCGGTGAGGGTCTCGGTGAGGGTCTCGGTGACGGTGACGGTCTCGGTGATGGTCTCGGTGACGGTCTCAGTGACTGTCACGGTCACTGTCACTGTCACGGTGACTGTCACCGTGACGGTAACGGTGACGTTGCGGTGACGTTGCGGTGACGTTGCGGTGACGTGAAGGCAACGGTGAAGCTGCACCACGGCCACCCGAGTTCGATTCCCCCTCATGGCTGCCAACTCCAAGGCGACGTTCAGCCGAATGTGTCCCGGGCCTCCCCTGGGTCGACTCGGCCTCAAGTGAGCACCCGGCGCGTTGTGCGGTCAACATCGCCACCGGGGGAGACAAAGGCGGCCGGGTGTGGTGCCGGCCACCCACCCACCCTGTCGTGTGCCGTTCCGGCTTTCCTCGGTGCTGCTCCTTGCTTGCGGCACCTGCCCACAATCGGCGTTCATCTTTGTGTGTGTCTGTGTGTGTGTGTCTGTGTGTGTGTCTGTGTGTGTGTGTCTGTCTGTGTGTGTCTGTGTGTCTGTCTGTGTGTGTCTGTGTGTGTGTGTCTGTGTGTGTGTCTGTGTGTCTGTGTGTGTGTGTCTGTGTGTGTGTCTGTGTGTCTGTGTGTGTGTGTGTCTATGTGTGTCTGTGTGTCTGTGTGTGTGTGTCTGTGTGTGTGTGTGTGTCTGTGTGTGTGTCTGTGTTCGCGTGTGTGTGTCTGTGTGTGTCTGTGTCCGCGTGTGTGTGTGTGTCTGTGTGTGTGTGTCTGTGTGTCTGTGTCCGTCCGTGTCTCCTTACAGCCGCCAACCCCATCAACGTCGTCCCCTTCAACTCGCGTGAGTATGGAAGGTGGGGGGGGTGGCTGTGTGGGGAGCGGTCGTGTAGTGGTTAGCGCTATGAACCCGTGTTGGTGGGGATGTGGGCGGGGGTGTGGGCGGGGGTGTGGCTGGGGGCGGGGGTGTGGCTGGGGTGGGGGTGTGGCTGGGGGTCTGGCTGGGGGTGTGGGTGGGGGTGTGGCTGGGGGTGGGGGTACGGGTGATGGTGTGGGTGGGTGTGGGGTGGGGGTGGGTATGGGTGGTGGGTGTGGGTGGTGGGTGTGGGTGGTGGGTGTGGGTGGTTGTGAGTGGTTGGTCTATGCGAGTGGCTATGGGTGGTTATGACTATGGTTGTGCGTAGACCCCCAGGTAGACCCCCAGGTAGACCCCCCTGGCAGACCCCCCTGGTAGACCCCCAGGTAGACCCCCAGGTAGACCCCCTCTTAGACCCCCTCTTAGACCCCCAGGCAGACCCCCAGGCAGACCCCCTGCTAGACCCCCAGGTAGACCCCCAGGCAGACCCCCAGGCAGACCCCCAGGCAGACCCCCAGGCAGACCCCCAGGTAGACCCCCAGGTAGACCCCCAGGTAGACCCCCAGGTAGACCCCCTCTTAGACCCCCAGGCAGACCCCCAGGCAGACCCCAGGCAGACCCCCAGGCAGACCCCCAGGCAGACCCCCTCTTAGACCCCCAGGCAGACCCCCAGGCAGACCCCAGGCAGACCCCCAGGCAGACCCCCAGGCAGACCCCCAGGCAGAGACGAGCACCGTGCGTGACCCCCGCCTTGCCGCGTGCCCCCTCCCCCCCCTCCGCCCCCCAGCGTGCTCCTTCCAGCTGCACGCCGTGGGGTCTACGGAGCGCTTCTTCCGCAGCCCCAACTTCGAGAACGGGGAGTACCCCGCCAACTCGCGCTGCCAGTGGCTGCTCCGCGCCGACGCCGGCAAGGTGCTGCAGCTCACCTTCGTCTCCTTCATGGTGGAGGACGACTGCCGGTTCGACGCCGTCACCGTCTACGACTTCCTGAGCCCCGCCGAGAACCGCACGTTGCTGCGGTGAGTGCCGGCGGGTGGACCTGATGGTGACCCTGGTGGTGACCCTGGTGGGTGACCCTGGTGGGTGACCCTGGTGGGTGACCTGGTGGTTGACCTGGTGGGTGGACCTGGTGGGTGACCTGATGGTGACCCTGGTGGGTGGACCTGGTGGGTGACCTGGCGGGTGACCTGGTGGGTGACCTGGTGAGTGAACCTGGTGCGTGGACCTGGTGGGTCACCTGATGGTGACCTGGTGAGTGAACCTGGTGCGTGGACCTGGTGGGTGACCTGGTGGGTGACCCTGGTGGGTGGACCTGGTGGGTGACCTGGTGGGTGAACCTGGCGGGTGACCTGATGGTGACCTGGTGAGTGAACCTGGTGCGTGGACCTGGTGGGTCACCTGATGGTGACCTGGCGGGTGGACCTGGTGGGTGACCTGGTGGGTCACCTGGTGGGTGACCTGGCGGGTGGACCTGGTGGGTGGACCTGGCGGGTGGACCTGGTGGGTGACTCTGGTGGGTGACCTGGTGGGTGAACCTGGTGGGTGACCTGGTGAGTCACCTGATGGTGACCTGGTGGGTGACCTGGTGGGTGACCCTGGTGGGTGACCCTGGTGGGTGAACCTGATGGTGAACCTGGTGGGTGACCCTGGTGGGTGGACCTGGCGGGTGACCTGGCGGGTGACCTGGTGAGTGAACCTGATGGTGAACCTGGTGGGTGACCTGGCGGGTGACCTGGTGGGTGACCTGGTGAGTGAACCTGGTGCGTGGACCTGGTGGGTCACCTGATGGTGACCTGGCGGGTGGACCTGGTGGGTGACCTGGTGGGTCACCTGGTGGGTGACCCTGGTGGATGACCTGGTGGGTGACCTGGCGGGTGAACCTGGTGGGTGACCCTGGTGGGTCACCTGATGGTGACCTGGTGGGTGACCTGGTGGGTGACCCTGGTGGGTGAACCTGGTGGGTGAACCTGATGGTGAACCTGGTGGGTGACCCTGGTGGGTGGACCTGGTGGGTGGACCTGGTGGGTGACCTGGCGGGTGACCTGGCGGGTGACCTGGTGGGTGACCTGGTGAGTGAACCTGGTGCGTGCACCTGGTGGGTCACCTGATGGTGACCTGGTGAGTGAACCTGGTGTGTGGACCTGGTGGGTGACCTGGTGGGTGACCCTGGTGGGTGGACCTGGTGGGTGACCTGGTGGGTGAACCTGGCGGGTGACCTGATGGTGACCTGGTGAGTGAACCTGGTGCGTGGACCTGGTGGGTCACCTGATGGTGACCTGGCGGGTGGACCTGGTGGGTGACCTGATGGGTCACCTGGTGGGTGACCTGGTGGGTGACCTGGTGGGTGACCTGGCAGGTGAACCTGGTGGGTGACCCTGGTGGGTCACCTGATGGTGACCTGGTGGGTGACCTGGTGGGTGACCCTGGTGGGTGAACCTGATGGTGAACCTGGTGGGTGACCCTGGTGGGTGGACCTGGCGGGTGACCTGGTGGGTGAACCTGGCGGGTGACCTGATGGTGACCTCGTGGGTGACCTGGTGGGTGACCTGGCGGGTGGACCTGATGGTGACCTGGTGGGTGAACCTGATGGTGACCTTGTGGGTGAACCTGGTGGGTGACCTGATGGTGACCTGATGGTGACCTGATGGTGACCTGGCGGGTGGACCTGGTGGGTGAACCTGGTGGTGACCCAGCGGTGACCCTGTCTGTGACCTTACCGTGACCCTGTCTCTGACCCTTTCTCTGACCCTGTCTGTGACCTTACGGTGACCCTGTCTGTGACCTTACGGTGACCCAGTCTGTGACCTGACGGTGTTCCTGTTGGTGACGTCACATCGCTGGTGATGTGACGTCGTGTCGCTGGTGAGGTTATGTCGCTGATGATGTCATGTCGCTGAGGCGATGTCGCAGGCGATGTCACCGATGACGTTGGTAACGTCGCCGACGTCACGCCGCAGGTGACGTCACGGCAACGCGACGTCGCCGGTGATGTCGCCGGTGACGTCACGTCTCAGGTGACGTGACATCAGTCACGTCGCCGGTGATGTCGTGTCGCTGACGTCACGTCGCAGGTGATGTGACATCAGCGACGTCGCCGATGATGTCGTGTCGCTGACGTCACGTCGCAGGTGACGTGACGTCAGCGACGTCGCCGATGATGTCGTGTCGCTGACGTCACGTCGCAGGTGACGTGACATCAGCGACGTCGCCGATGATGCCACGTCGCTCAAGCCGTCGGTGACGACGCCGATCGCGAATTCCCCCCCCCCTCATCGCCGCCCCCCCCCCCTCATCGCCGCCCCCCCCCCACCGCAGGAAGTGCGGCGTGGCCCCCGTGGCGTTCAGCCTGCTGTCGTCGGGGAACGTGATGCTCGTCACCTTCACGTCCAACGACGTCCAGAACGAGCCCGGGTTCAACGCCAAGTTCCTGCAGATCGACAAACCCGGTAAAGGGGGAGGGGGGGGGGAGGGGGAGAAGATGGAGGAAGGAGGAGGGGGGGGAGGAGAGGGAACCACAGCAGTTTGCTGGCCCGGGTGTCTTGTCACCTCGCGGGGGGCTGGGGGGGGTGGGGGGGGTGGTGGGAGTGTTGGGGGCAACTGCCGCTGGAGTTGCCACCCCCCCCCCCCGTCGCGTCACGCGTGACGTCACGTGACGGGAGCGTGTTGCGTGTTGTGTGCTGCGCCAGTCTTCGGGGCCGTGACCCTGCAAGCGAGGGAGAAGGTGACCCAGAACTTCACGTCGCCAGCCTACCCCACGTACTACCCCCCCAACACGGACACCAGCTGGGTCATCCAGGTGAGCGCACACACACATGCTCACACTCACACACGCTCACACTCACACACGCTCACACACACACACGCTCACACACACGCTCACACACACACACGCTGACACTCACACACACATACACTCACACACACACGCTCACACACACACACGCTCACACACACACACGCTCACACACACACACGCTGACACTCACACACACATACACTCACACACACACGCTCACACTCACACGCTCACACTCACACACACACTTACACACACACGCACGCTCTCACACGCACGCTCTCACACACTCACACACACGCTTACACACACACGCTTACACACACACACACACGCTCACACTCAGACACACACACGCTCACACTCACACACACACATACACTCACACGCTCACACTCACACACACACATACACTCACACGCTCACACTCACACACACACACGCTCTCACACGCTCACACTCACACACACACTCACACACACACACGCTCTCACACGCTCACACTCACACACACTCACACACGCTCTCACACGCTCACACTCACACACACACGCACGCTCTCACACGCACGCTCTCACACACACGCTCACACTCACACACACGCTCACACTCACACACACGCTCACACACGCACTCACACACACACGCTCACACACGCTCACACATGCACGCGCTCACACACACACTTACTTACACGCACGCTCACACACACGCTCACACACACACGCTCACACACGCACTCACATGCACTCACACGCACACGCACTCGCACACACGCTCACACTCGCACGCACGCTCACACTCGCACACACGCTCACACACACACACTCACACACACACTCACATGCTCACATGCACACTTACACGCATGCACGTACGCACTCACACACACTCACACGCACGTACGCACTCACACTCGCACACACGCTCACACACACGCACTCGCACGCTCGCATACACGCTCACACTCGCACACACGCTCACACTCGCACACGCACTCACACACGCACTCACACACTCACACTCGCACACACGCACGCTCACACACGCGCACGCACGCACTCACACTCGCACACTCGCATGCTCACACGCATGATTACACTCACACACGCTCACACACACGCACTTGCACGCTCGCACGCACGCACTCACACTCGCACACATGCTCATGGGCACTCGCACACACGGGCACACACACGCACGCACACGCGCATGCACATGCACACACACACACTCACGCACGTACACACATGCACACGCGCACGCAACTGCCCCTAGTCTCACAGCATACCCTTAAACCTCGACAAATCACATTCCCTCGTGGAGTGGTGGAGGAAGTGTGGTGGTGAAGGTGGTCGTGGAGGTGTTGGTAGTTAGTGGTGGAGGTGGTTCAGTGGTAGAGGTGGAGGTGGTGTTGGTGCAGTGGTGGAGCTGGTGGTGGTGGAGGTGGAGGCGGTGGTGGAGATGGTGCAGTGGTAGAGAGGTGGAGGTGGTGTTGGTGCAGTGGTGGAGGTGGTGGTGGTGGAGGTGGTGCAATGTTAGAGAGTTGGAGGTGGTGTTGGTGCAGTGGTGGAGGTGGTGGCGGAGGTGGTGCGGTGGTAGAGGTGGTGGAGGTGGTGCAGTGGTGGCGGTGGTGGAGGTGGTGTTGGTGCAGTGGTGGAAGTGGTGGAGGTGGTGGTGGTGGCGATGGCGGAGGTGGTGCAGTGGTAGAGGTGGTGGAGGTGGTGCAGTGGTAGAGGTGGCGGAGGTGGTGCAGTGGTGGAGGTGGTGATAGTGCGGTGGTGTGGAGGTGCGGTGGTGGCTGCGGTGACCTCTCGGGCCCGATCGTAACGACCCCGTCCCCCTCCCCTCCTGCCCCGCCCCCCCCCCCCCCCCCCCCCGTCGTGCAGACCGACGCCAACAAGCAGGTTCGTGTGACCTTCACAAGGTTCAAGATGCGGGAGCCGGGCATCCAGGAGTCCAACTGCCTCAAGGACTACATGGAGGTCAACAAGAAGAGGTGCCGCCACTGGGGCCAGAGCGGGCGGCCGTGGCGACGGTGGCGCAGACGTTAACCAGGGAGGCCCGCCAACGTCATCATCATCGTTATCATCGTCATCGGCTGATCACGATGATGATGACGATGATGACGACGCTGACGACGACGATGATGATGATGATGACCCCGTATGCGTGTGTGTGTGCGCGTGCGTTGCCAGGTACTGTAGCGACCAGCCCACGTTTGTGGCCATCAGCAGCGGTGCCTCGCTGGAGGTGAAGTTCCACTCAGACGAATCCTACTCGGACCGCGGTTTCGTCGCCGAGTACACGGCCTACCAGCCCGACAACCGTGAGTCTTGCCTCGCCTAGTCCGTGTGTGTGTGTGTGTGGTGTCTGTGTGTGTGTGTGTGTGGTGTCCGTGTGTGTGTGTGGTGTGGTGTGTGTGTGTGTGGTGTCCGTGTGTGTGTGTGTGGTGTCCGTGTGTGTGTGTGGTGTGCGTGGTGTCCATGTGTGTGTGTCTGTGTGGTGTCCATGTGTGTGTGTGTGGTGTCCGTGTGTGTGTGTGTGTGTGGTGTGTGTGTGTGTGTGGTGTCCGTGTGTGTGTGTGTGTGTGGTGTCCGTGTGTGTGTGTGTGGTGTCCGTGTGTGTGTGTGGTGTCCATGTGTGTGTGTGTGTGGTGTCCGTGTGTGTGTGTGGTGTCCATGTGTGTGTGGTGTGGTGTCCGTGTCTGGCAAAAACAACCCCCTTCCTATAGGAATAGGTTTAACCCTTTTAACTGGCACAAAAACTGACACCTTTATTCAAGGCATCATGTTTGCAATAACCACAACACAAGCAGTTAAAATGCAAACAAAAAAGACAACTCTGATAATATGCACTGTCCTTGAATTTGATTGGTCCACACCCGAGACAGCTTTTCTTAGAGCCTAGTCTCCACTGGTGTTGGACCAGAAGACGCCATTAGGCGTACAACTCAAAAACAGCGCACTATCAGAGTATTGAGGGCTCGAGGTGAGGTTTCATAAAGTAAACCCCCTTCCTCCTCGTTGGTGCCGAACGGCAACGCTGTGGTGGGCAATGCCATGGGGGGAGGGCCTATTTATATTGGTCATTTCCCCTCATGGTGTTTGTAACCACCACAGTGGCCAAATAGAGGCTCTGGATGGGTGTGAGGGGCTGGTAACCCCTCCACCTTCAATTAATTACCACGAAACCACGATTTACATTTTTTATAAAGCTTGTGCCGGAGGCCCCGGCATCTATGACGTCTCCTGGCCAAATTCCATTTGGCAGAGCCAGGAGACTGAATCTTTACCCTCGGGGCTCCTCCAGAAACACGGAAAAGCCACTACGGATGGTCACGTGGAATGTTCGAACGCTCACTGCGGAGGAGAGGCTGCCACTCCTCTGTCGGGAGCTGGACCGGTACCGCCAGGATCTCTGTGGCATTCAGGAGGTCCTGTGGACCGGTTCTGGCTCCTGCCACCATGAGGGGTGGACAGTCCTCTACTCAGGGCAGGAGATTGCCAAACAACAGGGAGTGCATCTTCTTCTGAACGAAAGAATGAAGGGGACGTGGGAGCGTGGCGGAGAAGTGTGGGAAGCTGTAAGCCCCAGGCTACTTTGGGCTCGCCTTCGTATCAACCAGAGGCGAGGAGTAGTGGTCGTGGTTACTTATGCCCTCACCGAAGACGAACATCCGTGGAGGGATGCAGGCAAGGCCGATGAGTCAGATGCCTTCTATGACCTCCTGTCACAGGTGCTGACTAAAGTGGCCCCTCGGGATAGCGTCATCATGTTGGGTAACTTCAATGCCCGAGTTGGCATGTTCTGTTTACGTGACAACCCTTACTAGTTGGCTTTGCCGGGTGGTGGTGGGTTTTAATGACGCAACATTTATATATTTACGCGATCTAACCTAGAAAAAAAACCTCTATCATGGATGATATTGGTCGCGAAAGCCTGCGTGCTAAACTGTGTTTTGGTGTCTGTGTGTGGTGTCCGTGCCACTCACCCTCTTCATAGGTGCTACTCGCTAACAGCACTTGCCCCAACAGTCTGTTCAGGCTATAACAGGAACCTTTATCTGTGTGTGTGTCTATGTGTCTGTGTGTAGCGTGTCCCGGGATGTTCACGTGCAACTCGGGACTATGCCTGGTGCAGAGCCGGCAGTGCGACGGTTGGAACGACTGCGGAGACCTCAGCGATGAGAACAACTGCGGTGACTCATCACCTCCCCTCCCTCCCCTCCCTCCCTCCCTCCCTTCGCTCCCTCCACTCCCTCCTTGCCTCTCCTCCTCCCTCCCCTCCTCCCTCCCCTCCTCCCTCCCTCTCTCCCCCCCTACTCCCTCCCTCCCCCCCTACTCCCTCCCTCCCTCCCTCCCTCCGCTCCCCTCCCCTCCCTCCCTTCGCTCCCTCCACTCCCTCCCTTCGCTCCATCTGCCCCCTCCACTTCCTCCACTCCCTCCTTGCCTCCCTCCCCCCTCCCCTCCTCCCTACCCTCCTCCCTCCCTCCGCTCCCCTCCGTGTGCTTGACCGTGCGTGTGCGTGTCTGCGTGTGCGTGTCTCCGTGTGCGTGTGTTCGTGTGCGTGTCTCCGTGTGCGTGTGTGCGTGCGTGCGTGCGTGTCTGCGTGTCTGCGTGTCTGCGTGTGTGCGTGTCTGCGTGTGCGCGTGTGTGTGCGTGTGTGTGTCTGCGTGTCTGCGTGTGCCCGCCCGCCTGCCGGCGCTGGCTCAGAGTGCGGGGCTGACCAGTTCTCCTGCGCCAACGGCCTGTGCAAGCCCAAGATGTGGATGTGCGACCGCGTCAACGACTGCGGAGACTTCAGCGACGAGAAAGACTGCCGTGAGCAGGGTGCCCGGGGTGGAGGGTGCGGGGTCACACGGGAGGGGGGGTCACACGGGAGGGGGGGGGTCATGCAGGGGGGGGAAGGGAAGGGGGCGGGGGGGTCGCCGTGAGGGGTCGCCACAGTGGGCTGTGAGATGTTAACTACCTCGCCTGGTATACAGGAGGTCGTGGGTTTCATCCCGTCCCTGATGATCCCCGCTGTATATTTGGAGATTACGTCTCTCATCATCATCACGGTGGCTAGGAGATGTTAACTACCTCGCCTGGTATACAGGAGGTCGTGGGTTCGATCCCGACTCTGACGACGCCTGCTGTATAATTTGGCGTTTGCGTGTCTCTCTCTCTCCCTGTGGTCACGTGGATTTTTCTCCGGGTCCTCCTGTGTTTCCCTCCACGTTTAGAATCGACATCACGCGTTGAGAGTATTTGACGATGATGATGACTATGATAAGCCGCCACTTCGTAGTGGTGTGGCGGTGGTGGTAGTGCTGGAGGTATAATTTTGGTTGTGTGTGTGCGATAAGCATGTTTTGATAACATCGCTGTGTGTGTATCTGCGTGTGTCTGCGTGTGTCTGCGTGTGTCTGTGCGTGTCTGCGCGTGTCTGTGCGTGTCTGCGTGTATCAAGCGTGTATTGATAGGATCCCCGTCTCTGCGTGTGTCTGTGCGTATCTCATGGTGCCGGACGGGCAACGCTGTCGTGGACAGTGCCGTGGGGGGAGGGCCAATTCCGATTGGCCTTTCCCCTCAGGGCATCTGTGACCAGCACAGCGGCTAAACGGGGGCTCTGGACGGGTGCGAGGGGCTGGTAACCCCTCCACCTTCAATGAATTACCACTAAACCACGATGGAAAAATGTAATTAATAAGCTTGTGCCGGAGGCCCCGTGGGGGACAGGCGTCTATGACGTCTCCTGGCCAAACACCTTTTGGCGGAGCCAGGAGATTTAATATTTACCCTCGGGGCTCCTCCAGAAACAACAAAAAACCACTACGTGTGGCCACGTAGAATGTTCGAACGCTCACTGCGGAGGAGAGGCTGCCACTCCTCTGTCGGGAGCTGGACCGGTACCGCCTGGATTTCTGTGGCATTCAGGAGGTCCTGTGGACCGGCTATGGCTCCTGCCACCATGAGGGGTGGACAGTCCTCTACTCGGGGCAGGGAGTGGCTCTTCTTCTGAACGAAAGAATGAAGGGGGCGTGGGAGCGTGGCGGTGAGGTGTGGGAATCTGTAAGCCCCAGGCCACTTTGGGCTCGCCTTCCCATCAACCAGAAGCGAGGAGTGGTGGTCGTGGTTACTTATGCCCCCGCCGAAGACGAACATCCGTGGAGGGATGCAGGCAAGGCCGATGAGTTAGATGCCTTCTATGACCTCCTGTCACAGGTGCTAGCTAAAGTGGCCCCTCGGGATAGTCATCTTGTTGGGTGACTTCAATCCCCGAGTTGGTCATGATGCTGGCACCTGGTCTGGAATGATTGGAAGGCATGGGCCAGATCAGCTCAATAACAACGGCTAGATTTTTGTGCAGCCCATGGGCTTGGAATTACGAACTAGCTGTCCCGGCATCGGCGCATCCACACAACATCATGGGTGCATGCCGGGTCCAAGCAAGAACATCTGATGGACTACATAGTGACGGATGCGGGCCCCATGTTGGTCCTGCACAGATGCCATATATTCTGTCCGTCTGCTACAGCAGAGGTGTAGGGAATTCCAACAAGACCTACATCTCTGCTTTATTGATCTGGTCAAGGCCTGGGCTCTGGGTTATCCTTCGTGCTTTCGGAGTCCCTGACCCTCTGCTCATGATCGTTAAGGACCTTCATGATGGTGAGCGGGCCCGGGTAAAACTACGTGGCCGGGAGTCAGAGCCATTCCCTGTACACCTTGGGGTGCGACAGGGATGTCCTCTGGGTCCCACATTATTTAACATCTATTTCGACCACGTAGTTTGTGAAGCCTTCAATTGCTGTACCGGAGGAACTTCCATCTGGTACAGATAAAATGGGAGGCTGATCGATGCCCGGGTGCGGTCAATGGATGGCTCTTTATTGCTCAACCATGTTATGTATGCCGACGATCAGGTAATTGCTGCTCACTCAGAGGAGGAGTTGGAGACGCTGCTGCTGAACCTGGAGCTTGCCACCAAGAGGTGGGGCCTTACCATCAGCCCCACCAAAACTAAGCACCTGCCTGGGTATAATTGTACCATCGGAAACTCCACCCCCACAACTCCCAATCGGTGATGGGGCAGTTGTGGAGAGAGTGGAGAGTTTCCCCATGCCTTGGCAGTGTGCTCATGACCGGCTCCGGTTTAACAGCAGAGGTTTCACTCTGAATCAGTCGAGCGGCATTATCTTTTCATCGGTTGCGTAACGCTTTGTGGAAGCTACCTGGTCTGTCGCTCTGCACGAAGCTTCAGGTCTTCTCGGCCACAGCCATTACCTCCCTTCTCTACACTTGCGAAATGTCGACCCCCCTAATGGAACATCTTCGCCAGTTAGAAACATTTAGGCTGGCCTGTCTACGATCCATCCTGGGTTTAACCAGGCTGGATTGTGTGAGGAGCTCACAAATCTTTGAAAGATCTGGACAAAATCCCATCGATGAGCTCCTCCGGCAGGCAAAGCTGCATTGGCTGGGCCATATAGCCCGCATGCCCAGCCACCGCATGCCTAAACAGCTTTTGTTTGGCCAGATCGAGGGGGCTGAACTTGCATGGCATGGGCTAGCGAAGAGATGGAGTGATGTAGTACAGGAGGACGTGGAGCTGAGTGGACTTGCCGATGACTGGTACCAGCGGTGTCAAGATCGGCCTCTGTGGAGGAGGCTCGTGAAGGACGCTACTGGGCAGTTGGAGGCAGTCGCTCTCCAACAACAACGGAGGGCAGAGGAGCGCCGCTCACAACAACAATCGGGGCGCCGTGTGGCTAAAGCACAGCAAGTTGGCAC